CGACATCGACGAGAAACACGCGCTGTGCTCGCGCGACTTAAGACAGTGACGTCGCACCGCGCGCGAAGCCGCATCATGCGTTGGTGGGACGGAGCGATGCGTCGCGCGCGGCGAAATCCCGCGCAATCGTGTCGTTTGCGCGTCGTTGCTCTGGGAACACCGGACAGTGGCAAGACTTCGGTGTTGCGAGATCTGTTGCTGTTGGACGACGGAGACGTAGTCGCGAGAACGTCGCGACATCGCGCCACGCGACCCATCGTCGTGGAATCGAGACATCTGTCGTGTCAGGAAGTGCTCGTGGCGCACCGATGTCAACGGACCGGAGCCCTCGTTTCGGGCTCGTCCTGTAACAACGACGAATTGTCGACGACGGGCATCGAGGGATTCGCGTTTCTAGACACTGATGCGACGGACGATTCGTCGTTATTGCAGAACGAATTGGCGCGAGACGCGCGCTACGCGGACACGGTGCTCCGCTGGCGACGATCGCGGAGACGCGACACGTGCGCATCGAGCGTGCGTGCGCTGGTGGGTTACGAGTTGTACGACACGTCGGTGGATCTGTGTTCGAATCGCACGCTCGATCATTTGGCGATAGCTTACGCGAACAGCGCCGATGTGATCATCATGGCGTACGATCCGACGAACGAGGAGTAGCTGCGCTATTCGCTGCGAACGCTCAGTGTCGTAGCCAGAACCGATGGCGAACGCGCGCGATCCGTCGTACTGATCGAGTGCGATCGTCGAGCGTCACGCGCGCGATCGGCTCTCGAGGGGCGAAGACGCGACGGAGACAACGACCGGCGGTCCGACCGCGATCCGGCTGCTGCGACATTACTACGACGCTACTGTCGACCTGAACGCGACGACGACACCGTTCAATGCCGAGAACGGCGCGGCGGAACTTCGAGTCAATTGCTTCTTCGTGCGCACGACCCAATGGTGAACAACCACGCACTACTGCAACGCGCATTGGACGTTGCGCTGGAGTTGGTCGTGCGCGCTCGCTACCCGACGCTGCGGTTGCTTCGCGACGCGGTAGAATCTCGACGACGAGCGCCGACGCAAACGCGATCGCGGAGCGTCAACCCGCTCTGGAAAACGCCATCAACGAGCTGACCGCGATAGACGAGGAAGAGGAGGAGGAAGCGGCTGGAACGAAGACGGACGAAATCGCAACGTTGGATCGACGAGCGCGGATTGAATCGGCCGCAACGACAAGGGCGCACTGACGAAAATATGGCGACGCGTGTGGACCGCTCCTCGGTTGGCGCATCGCGAAAAAATGACGCTGGACGGTTCGAGAGTAAGCGTCGATCATGTGGCCGATGTTCGGTCTCTGCGCGGCGTTTCTGGTTCTGTGATGCCTGACGTTTCGTTACAGCCACGTTGCGACTCGACGTCACCGCGACGATCGCGCCGACGAGAATCACGCGCAACGTGCCGCTCGCCTGGCCGAACGACTGACCGAGACGACGCGACGTCCCGCGATCTCGTCTCTGCGACGTCGAGCGAATGTCGAGCGAACGTCGTGGCGGACTGTTCCGTTCGAACGCGATAGTGCACCGACGACGCTGATTGCGCCGCGATGTGTCGCGCGTATCACGGCCTGACGGCGCGCTGCGACTCGATCGGACACGTGTGTCGGTCCGTGGCGACGACGCCGTTCTCGTCGCCGTACCATCGATCGCGAACCTCGCGGTGTTCGATCGGACGCCGCGCGATGCGACTCGAAGCGAAGGGAGTACGCGATGTTTGTCGGCTATTCGGATTCTGGGCATCGCGCTGTGGCGATGCGTGCAACTGTACCATGAAAGCAGGAGGGCGTACTAGGTGGCGACGGTACGTCCGTGCGTTCGGGACCTGCATCTCATTTTTTCGTTTCGAAGAGCGAAAGTATCGAGAGCGCGGTAGTCGCTAGACCGGGAATCGAACCCGGTCTTTCGCTTGCGGGCGACTGCTCTAGACCACTGAGCTATCTGACGCTCCACGCCACGACACTCTCCTCTCCCTAGATAACGTTGAGAGATGACGTTCGGCGAATGACATCTCTAGTGCTATCCGAGCGCACGGCGACTACAGAGAGAGGCATTGTTACTTGTACCTAGTGGTACAAGCTGGTGGTCTCCAAAGTCAAAGGTTGCTATCCTTTAAGACTGCTGTCCATGTATGCCGCCCCACCGTTGCCCCTCCTTATCCGGTCGCTTCAACGCGAAAGTTTTGCGAGAACGGCTCGTCAATGTGAACGCGACGCTCCACGAACCGCCGTATCGCGATTGCTCGTGTCCACCAGGTACGACGCTTCTGATCAAACGCACCGCCGATGCGTACGACGCACTGTTGCACGTTACA